AATATCACGAAAATGGTATTAAAACTTTTTCTGCAACAAAATGAAGAAAAAATGGTGCGAAAAAATAACTTGTGCCCCAAAAAATGTTTCTTTTTCCAAATTTTCCTTGGAGTTCCATATGGACAAGCAACAAATCTAAAGTGAAATTCGTTTGATTTGAAAATAAATTTGCGGATTTGGAAAAATGCGAAAACTTTGTCCGCGCAGGGATTTTCCATTTGTAAGCTTCAAAAACAAATTTTCGGAAACCGATTATCGACGACATTTTTTGACCAAAAAAGTCCCCTTTTCTAAACATTTTTCTTGATCGACAGTTCTCTTTGGATACTTTTTCAACTAAGAAAACACCCAGGAAGTTTTATAAAGAATAACTTTCTCCGAAAAGCGGCGTTGTTTCCTAGAAAAAAAAAAGAAAAAATCACGCTGGTTTTTTTGAACCAACACTGAATCCATGACAAGTAAACATTTTGTCTGATTTCCTGATACTTTTTTAATTATATTCTGTAATATTTGCTATTTGAACGCCATAAGCCATCCAAAAAATCCGGACCACTTCGACTTCAAAACTTGATGTATCTTGAACCACCTGTTATAAGCAAATGATACTTAGAGAGTAGAGAAAAAATTAAGAAAACAATATTAAAGGAAAATAACATTAAAATAGAGCGTAAATTGTGAAAGTTTGGTCAGTTCACGTTGCCAGACATCTCTGGAGAGTTTCTGGAGCATTTCGCTCAATTGCTGAATCAGCTATGGAATAACTGTCGCTCTTGTGTTGTAAAGTAACTCAACTTGTTGTATTGATTAGTAGAGCTACAATCATTGGCACCACTGTTTAGTTTAAAACCGAGACGTTTAAGAGTAAATTTCATGGATTACAGCTTAGAATTAACAAGAATACAAATGAACAGATTTTAGTGAAGGAATAATTTAACTCCAAAAATTATTGGTTCCATTAAGCCACGAAAAATTATCACTTCATTAATGAGAATACTTGGAAAATTTTTGTTATGATTCACTGATGCTCTTGACTCATTTTGGGCCAACCAGAGGATTTTTCTGCCTTTCCATACACTGAATGCTGAAGGATATGAGAAGAGACGGGCGAATAATTATTCGATAGGTATTATGCAAAGGGGGTGAGATTTAAGGGAGATCCACAGCATAATCAACGTTCCGTAACTCGTCTTTATTAAAGGATTATGCCGGATTAAGCGATCTGCATGTAAATTCTATTAATTGAGGCTCCGTCTGACTAAGTCGAATTGAGGCTTCGAATAACAACGTCACGAACAGTAAGAGACCATTTCATTTAAATTCTTAATCAATTTTGATGCCGGAACAGCCTGTTTAATCAGCTCTTAGAGAAAATTGTGATTCTATTTTTACCATCATAAAGTTTACATAGACAGACAATGAATAAAGTGCTTCTGAACATGAAGAATCAAGAGAGAGAAAAAGGAACCTTCCCCACTGACTAGATTAATATAAAGTATCGTAAACAATCCAACAATAAATAATAACGATTGCATGTTTTCACTAGATTTTCTCTGCGGCTGCATTTTTGCAGCTGAGCGTGGGAAAGGTGCTTGTTTCGTCGGAAAAAGTTTGAAACAATTATGGGAAACTATGGTCAAATAGGCGAATTGTACGGTTTACTCTAGTATTTAGCACGGCAAGAATAATTGACTTAATCTTTGCCAAAATGGTCCATTGAAACTCAATGACACTTTCACACTCGTTCTTCGCATTAACAAGTTTGGCCCAGAATATTTTTGCCATGCAAATTTAAGGGGCGAAAAACTGGAAAAGTGACCGAGCACAGTTTTTGGAGGAATGATTTTTTTATGTTTGGTTCATTTTCACGTTGCCGTTGGCAAATTGGGGCAAACTATCGACATGACGACAACTATTTAACATAAAATGGCAATTTTTGAAAATTTCCCGGTTGCCTAAAAGCCGCAGTCTAAGAAATGCCTTTTCTACGTGCTTGACGACGTGGTCATGTTGTGACGAAACTGCACATTCTAAATGCCGAGTCTGCAGCCGACACTTTGAATGTTAATTATGTTTCTGTTCTTTGTCGAAACTCCTTTTGTTTCGCTTATTGCATGAGATTGATGGAACGGTAAACGGACACGAGATGTGCACATTTTACGAAACACCATGGAAAACAACACAACCAATGAGACTATTGACTTTCCAGGCATTTTTCCATTGTTAACTGGCCGAATTTTCGCCATGTTAATGACGTGAGCTTTAAAAGAAATTTCGCAGAAATTGAAAATGAACGTATTTACCATAAACCGAAACAAATGGCGTTGTAATGGTTTTAAGGGCAGGCCATTATTTTTAGTAATTGCCCTATGGAGCGGTTAATTATTGCCAAAATTGTTTTCAAGCCGAGCTTAATCCCGTTAGCCGTCACTGAAATATGGTTTGCGAACTTTGGAATCTACAGTGCAGCAGGTTAGTTAAGTGATCTATGGATGTGATAAATGAATGGGCCCGATTTGTCTACTAAACCGAACAATCGATTTTTACTGCCAAATTTTTCGAAAAACAACGCTCGGTTCTGGCCTTGTCGAGCATGAGAGAAATCATTTTCCGGTATTAAAGTAAAGAGAATTAAAACAGAGATCGCTGGTCTTTCTGCACATTGCAAATTCGGATTCCGGCTTCTTTCCAGAAAAAGAATGGCAATCGATAAGTTCGCTGTTTCATTTCTTCAGTACATTTCAGTATTACGGAGCAGCACACAAATAAAAGCAGATTGGTCGAACTTTAAAGTACAAACTACGACTTTCAGCGGTTTTCTTTTAATTCTTTGTGTTGATCAAAGTTTGGCAATTAATTTCTCCAGAAGCCTACGCGATAAGGCCCGGCTGGATAGAGGCGGGTTTGCTCTATAATATTCCTGCCACTTAATTTGCTGATTGTTCGGCATAATTTAAATCGCAGATCCGCACCCAATGGCTCTTCGTGTGCTGATCTAAGTTTCAAAATTAATTTAAAAAAACCTGGGTGGAGACTTGCAGGTTACGTCGATTTATAGAGGAACATTTGCTCTGCACCCTGTATATTTTTCACTCCTGCAGCTTAATTTGTTTATGATTAACCGTCCAGTTGTAGCAAAAAACCTGGAAACAAAATAGACACTTTTTGTCACTTCATTATCAATCATGTTCCGGTGTTAAAAATGAATTTCTCCCAAATCTAAAGAAATATAAGCTTGTCCATAGCTTCACCCAATCGAAAAGGCTTTGCTCTATAAGCAACAAAGTTTTTACCCCTGCAGCTTAATTCGATGATTTTTACTGACAATTTCAGTCTGCAGCAATCATTCAATCGCCCTTTGTGTGCTACTTAGTTTAAAAATATTTTTTTGCAAAACAAGAGATATCAGTTGGCTGTTTGTACCGCTGAAAGAAGAGTGCCGTGATCGATAAGCTATAGTTTTCTTATTGGTGCAATTTAATTTCCAGATTTTTTATGACCATTTGTAACCCATTTTTGAGTCTCGACAGAAGTTTGAAAATGAATTCCTCTAAAAGCTACGGAGGTAATTTTGTGCCCGTGACTCCGTTGGATAGAACAGGCTTTGCTCTATCAGCAGAAATTTTTTTCATTCTTGTACAACAATTCAATGATTTTTTATGAGAATTTGAGTCTGAGGTGAGCGTTCAATGGCTCTTTGCATGTTGACTTAAGTTTGAAATTGCATGTCTCCAAAACCCAAAGAGATACGGGCTTGATTGTTGCATCACTGAATAAACAAGAGCTTATTCGAGCATCTGTATGTTTTTTATTTCAGCAATTTATTTTTATGATTTTTTATGACCGTTTGAGATCGAGCTGCTCGTTCACCGCCTTTTTTTGCGCTCTGGACCAATCCTTTTTTTGTCTACCGAAGTTGCATAATTAATTTCTCCGCAATATGCAGAGCTAATGCTTTTTTGCTTGTTTGCCCAATAAAGGAGGTGTTGCTCTATAAGCAGCAGTTTTTTTCATCGGTGCTGAGGAATTCGATGATCTTTTATGACAATTTGTAGTATTTTTCATGACTGAGATGTTTTGTGTGCAAGGGCGGATCCAGGGGGGCCCCCCATTCAATTCTCTATCCAACGATGCCAAAACGAATTATCTGGCTCGAATGGTTCTTGAGAAACTTAGAAAAAAGCAGCGTCATGTTCAGGTGGATTTTGTAACTAAAAAAAAACCACGCAAATCTAAAACTTCTTGAATTCAAGCATTTTTTGAGAAAACTGCCAACATTTCC